TTTAATATTTTAATATTTATTTTTTTTTAAATTGAGTTGGATTGGGAAAAGGGTTAGGGTTATTTTATTTAGCCTATAAATATATAACTATAGGTTGTAAAAGGGGGTTAGAAATATTTACGTGATATATTCTAAAGGGAGAGAGTTAGAGAGGGAAGGAGGAAAAGGAAAGAAGGAGGAAAAAAACCTTGTAGAGAGAAGATCAAGGAATAAGAAGTTAAACTTTCGATCCGAAAGTTTAAGGCAAGTTCTTCTTCTATCTCTTTTCCTTTGATTCGTGTTTCTGTACATGCCTAGGAAATTCCAGAATTTATTAAACACATAAAATTAAATAATTATGCATGTTTAATTGGATTAAAACATAGGCTTTTATGAAATTGGTTCATATCTGTTCTTGTGTTATGAATTGATAAATGTATGATTTTGATTTGGTTTCTGGTGTGAATTTTTACATGTTTGAATTATGTATTTTTCATATCTATGGAATAATGGAACGTAGAAACATGCCTAGGATTCCTGAACATTAAATAGGGATTAGGTTTGGGTTTAAATAAATTTAAATACACTCAATCATAACGATGTTTGCTATTTGAATGGTTTAAACAAACGAATGGATTTAATCTTTTAAAATGCTTTAACAATTGAGATTAAATGTGTATGATGAATTGGATATGGAGAATGCTTATTTGACGATATAATAAAATATCATCATGTATAATATTCAGTTTGTGTAGGACATATGATATAGAAAGCTTAAATAAATAATAAGTCATTCATATTATGTGATAACTTGATATCATATTATCATAGTTATTTCTGGAATGTTTGATGTATTTCTTTAATTGTTACATCAATTGTTGGATTGTGTGGTTTAATGCACCGATATGGGACGGTGGCATTCTAGGGACGGATTAACTTATCAGTTAAGTCCTACCTATTTTATATAAGGGAATGGATTAACTAAAATGTTAAGTCCTACTTATATTCAGGTCAGTTCAGCTGAACAAGTTGAATGACTTATGGATGATTAATTTATTATATAAGGGAATGGATTAACTAAAATGTTAAGTCCTACTTATATTCAAGTCAGGTTAGCTGAACAAGTTGAATGACTTATAAAGGATTAATTTATTATATAAAGGAATGGATTAACTAAAATGTTAAGTCCTACTTATATTCAAGTCAGGTCAACTGAACAAGTTGAATGACTTATGGAGGATTAATTTATACTGGATAGGATGGTTACTAGATTATATATATATAAGTATGGTGTTATGATATGAGCTTGAGTCTCAGGATCAGTGGTTAGGGTGCGTATATCGCCAGGGATGTGTAGCTAGATATAGTGTAGTTGTATACCCTGGTAAATCTAGGTACTCATGCCCACTATATGTGCGTTTTGCATGTTGCCTACTATTCAGGTTGAGACAACCCTATAGTCTAGTGAAGTTCCTTTAGTGTGTGTATATATATATATACGGACTACTAGTTACTGTTGGATTGACTAGGATGTATACGTGTATCGGATCTCTGCTTGGACTGTAGTAGAGTAGAACTTGTTTGTGGGCCTGACCCACCATTATTTTGCAGGTGTTCGTCAGGAGTAGAGGTTGTTCGTGCTGAACGGGGATCAGTCTACTTCATTCTTTCGATGCTACATAGAAGTTCCTTTATGATTCAGTTTCCTGATTTAGACAGTTATTGTTGTTATTTGTTTAGTTTGGATTTTCTAGGGGTCCACACAGTATGGATTCCCGAGTTGTATTTTGGAGGATCAGTTGTATCAGAAGGGTTTATTAATTAATGGAAATATATTCTGAGGTTTATTATTAGATTATCATTTTAGTTTCTTGTCAGCATTTTATTTATTCTTCTTTATTCTTTTGCACTCTGTGTTCGTTTATTATCAATTTGTTTTGATATCCTCGGGTATTCGGGCGTGGGCTTGGCCAACCCGCATTCAAAAATCCGGGGGTATCACATCGACGCCGTTGTTTAGGGCATCGAGTGGTGGTGGCTGTCGGAGGAAGGTTGAGTCGTCGTCGTCGTCAAATTGGCTGACTGCTGATTCCAAGTCCAGTGAGCCGATGTAAGTTGTCGAATTTGGAGTTCTGGGTACCGAAGCGGTGACTGAGTCGCCGAAAGAAGCCGTGTTAAAGTCGAGAGAGTCGAAGAGGATGTGGAATCGCTGTCCACGAGGCTGTGCGAGACAACGATGATTTGATTTGAGAAAAAATTAAAGTGTGCCGCTGTCGATTGTGTGGGAATACAGATCCGAGTTGCTTACCACCGATTATAATAATGTGCCAGTGCAAAACTCTTGACACAATTGGTGGTTTGAAGATTCGTTGGGGTGAGGTTTTTTTTTGTTTTTCTAAAGGTTGATTTGGTGTGGGTTTCTGGTAATGTTGATGGATATGGATATGATTTTGAAGCTTTGTTACTGTGAAATTGGCATTAATGGCGGATACATTAAAAAAATGTTCAACTTGATAATTTAACTACTGAAATGAAATTGGCATTAATGGCGGATACATTAAAAAAATATACAACTTGACAATTTAACTACTGAAATTTTGTTATATGTGTGTTTGTATTATATATATATATATATATATATATATATATATATATATATTACTTTTTTGAAGAATTTTGGATTGCTTTCATTCCTGTTTTGTTGTAATTTTTTTTACGAACCCACCCAAGTTCTATAAAAAAAAAATCAAATTTGAAAAGGATATCCCATTTAGTTTGCTAAAATTTATATTTTCTCTGCTGAATCAATTTTTTTTCCCTTTGGATGCACTTGAGTAATGATGGAGATCCATTATAATTTTCTCTCTCTATGTGCGCTTATATTATACTATATGTGTGTGTGTGTGTGTATGTTGTGCTGATGAACTGTGATAATGGTGGTGGATATGGTGGTAAGGTGAAGACAGAGAGGAGGGAGAGAGAGTGAGGATTTTGGTTTTTTATGGATATTTTGGTCAATAAAAAAATAATTGTATTGGATAAATTGGTAATTGAATGTCTCAAAGGGCAATAATGTCAATTTAGGACAATTGGGTGTCTTTGTTAAATGCTTCAAACTTAAGGGGGTGCCATCGTTCAAAAATGGCCCAACTTATATATCGCTGTCATTATATCAAATCTCAGGGGTGTCGTTATAATTAACCCTAAATTAATTGTCAATTTCAAAAAATTTAATTCACTATCACCTTTTATTTTTAAATTATTTAAGATTATTTTTAATTATATTTTTTTTATATATTTATAAGTCAAATTTTTTGAAGTGGACAATTAATATAAAAATAAAGTAGTATATATAAGGATCAAATTCGGTAATTTCGTTCAATTTAATTTATGAGTTTGTTAGTGGGTTCACTATATATTACAAGAAGAACTATTATATATGACCAGAAAAATCATGAAGTGGTTAGTTACACAAGACAAATTGAACCTTCACACATTTTTTTTTTTCTTTCTAATCACATTTTTTATTTTCTAATTCTCACATGTTATATAAAATATGCTTTTCATTTATTTCATAATTGAGTTTACTTTAGTAATTAATTTTGCTAAAAGTATAACATAGATATGCTTTTTATTTATTTCATAATTGAGTTTACTTTATTAATTAATTTTGTAAAAAATATAACATCGAAGACATCCGCCATTATTAATGAATATGTTATTATTTATGTTAAATGATCTTCAAAAATTAAATAAAAATTTCTAAAGTTTATTCAAAATCCATCTCTATTAAATTATGTTATAAAATGTTTAGATACTGATCACCTTAACTGGACCCAATTCGATTACACCGTGTTAAGGCCCCAATTCTATTACACCCCAATTCTGTTACACCGTAATCGCCACCACCGCAACCACAACTGTGAACCATGCTACAAATAAAAGTTGAACATTTGTATTATACTACAATTAATATACATATATATGTTAGATGGTTCTTTTTTAGTAAATCGAAACGGAACGGTTATAAACAATTCTTTAATTTTTAGAAACCGGAACCGGACCAAACCATACAAATTTGTTCAGTCCGACGAGGTTTGTTTTGCCGATTTCAACAGTTTTTTATGCACACCGAATCACAAGCATCACAATTCATTGCACACAGAGCAAACAAGCAAGCAATGCACGCCCAAGTAAAACAACCATATTGCTCAATCCACAATATGGCAGCACATCGCTCATTTACAAGCCTAATAATAGCACTCAGTGTCAAACCACTTGTACACACAACTTAGTACCATTTGTCGATTGGATGTTGCCTCATAAGTAAAAAAACGATTGACGACACTAGGGTTACCCCATCACAGCAGTGGGTCGATACAACTTTTTGCCCAACCTATACACAAACTAAATCTTTTTGCCTAAAACTTCACCCAAACTTGAGGAACATAACTGAAAATAACTAATTTACCATATTTTTCACACACACACACATATACATATATATAAAAGGAGGAATAACCCTATACGCATGAAAATGCCAATGACATGCAACCACAAGAGTCGCAAAATATGGCACACGACATCTCTCAAACCATGACAAGCACGTGGAAGGCCAACTAGCGTGCCCCCGCGGAAGCAATTATCAGCTGAGACCTCACAACCTAGGCTCCCAACTAAGACTACAAATTACACCCTTTAGCAGCAAAGAAATGGTAAAGAAAGAAACAGAGAGGAAATTCCATATAACCTAAGACAACCAGTCATTATTTTGAGTGCTATGCATAAAATTTACCCGAGGGGATAGAGCCAGGTTTTCTATGAGTGAACATATTATTGTACCGAGGCCCAGGCACAGCAGAAATGCAGTCAATGGTAGCCAAGATAGATCGCGCAGATATAGTTTCACCGATCCATGGTGTCACTCTCACTATGATTTGATCATTCAACCACGGGACCACACAAAGCTAGAGTGGGCCCACAAATGCTTAAATCATCCTAATACTTCAATACCGGGAAAATGAAGCATCTAAAATGCATAACAAGTCCTCCAATGTTACATATAATAAACAAAAAGACTACCAATTACAAAAGAAGAAAAATATTTATATTCAGGAGAGAGTATAGTCGTATCTTTGTAAATATTTAATCTACAGTAAAGATTGAGTTGTGAAGAAGAGGAATACTTCATAAGTCATCATCATAAGAAACATGGAAACTGGTAGTGCAGCCAGATGCATCAGGCTCCTCCGCTCCACAACAATCATAGAACTTGGCAGCATAGGGAGGATCATCAGGTCCCAATTCGTAGTACCTTCAACAGGAAAAGAAAAGTTGCAAAAAGCATCAACTAGCAAAAACTCTGGTTCTGTAAATTTGTAAGAACATATCAACGAACAAGGTGCAAAAGCATCAACTAGCATAACAAGAAAGACTGGTAAAATTTTATGGTGTTATCTATGCACATAATTTCATGCTATTGTGGAACAAAGCAAACCTACCTGAATATAGTAACAGAACAAACTTCAAGGAAAATATTTTCATGAGAAAATATACAGTTTAAGATAACATCTCCAATTTCAAATTAGTTTCCAAATAAAGAACTGCACAGATGACAAATTTGTGACCTAAAATTTCATCATCTTTGTTGCAGCCATAGATAAATCTGTTAGCCGAGAAATGATAGGCTACAATCATGGCTGTAACTTATTATATTGGCCGAGATCTGATGAGCTAGAATTATGGGATTTGACTTTATTTACGCATATGTCTAGACATAGAATATGCAATAATTTGACTTTATTTACCATGTGCTCTTTTTTAGTATATAAATACCACATCTATGAATGAGTGTCTAAGCCTTATTCAAGCCTTTACATAGTATTAATCTCATTCAAGCCTTCACATATTTCTCTTTATTTCTTCTATCATGTATTTCTTCTTGGTATCGGAGTCAAGGTTGCAAATTCGGCACCAACCATTTAGGAACAGTCTAAGGAGACATTGCAAATGGCTTGTGGTCTAAGGAGACATTGGTGATTCTTCCATCTATATATTTTTTAACATGTGTATGAAGGTTAATGGTCTGAGGAGATACTATTGATTATTTATGGTCTAAGGGGACATTGATTCTTTCATCTACATATTTTAAACATGTGTATTAAGGGGAATGGTCTAAAGGAGATATTGTTTATTCTTCCATCTACATATTTCAAACATGTTTACGAAGGGAAATGGTCTGAAACAAGTAATGGTTGTTCACAGTCTGAGGAGACGTCGTTGGTTACTTGGTTGCTTGTGGTCTGAGGATACATTGTTAATGGTTTATGGTTTGAGAAGACACCGATCGATTGAGTCAGACAAGACATATCCACGGTGGTTTGGAGAAAACACCAAGGCTATGTCTTGGCTAGTCAATTTAATGCAGCTTAACATAGTCGTTGGCTATATATTTATAAGGGTTACAATCATAAAACCCCCTTCTTCTTTTCAAATATAGTCTGATAACCCTCTGTACAAAATAAACTATCATATCACCCCTATTAGTTTTCAAAAATATATCATATCACCCCATTCCATTTGTTTGGCATCTAAAACTAATAGGAGACAAGCACGTGACGGTCACGTGCAACCTTATTAACTATAATATGACCAAACTATCATTCTAATTGCTTGATGACAATTGTACGATCTCTGTGCAACCAATTTTTAAAAGGTAACCAAATGAGTGTTCTGTGTATTCTGGGTTTGATTGGGTTGTATATATATTATAACCAAATGGGTATTCTACATATATACACAAAAACATATCATTTGACAACCCATAAAAAAATAAAACTCTTTTGAAATTCTTCTCTCATAACTTCTCAACTACAATCACTACTTAAACCCAAATCAATCACAATAATTTAAAACCCAAGTCAATCACCAATTAAAAACGATCAACAAAGAATCGAAACCCCGAATTACATATAAAGATGATTCAAACTAGTATATGGTAGAAAGACTTGTTCTTTTCGATCGAATCACATAGAGATGTTGTCGGCATTGTCGGAGATTGAACTGAAAAGGGGGGGCATGGTGGGGTTGGTTTGGGTTGAAGAAGAAAGAGTGGGTTGGGGTGTGAATGGAGGTGGGGTTGAGAGAGTAGTGACACCACATGGAAGAAGAGTTGGAGATAAAAGAAAGATGGTTTTGTGTAGCTTAGTTCAGGGGGTGGCCGTGATCGGAGTCTGTCGTCGGAATCACGACAAGGACGAACAAGGTGAGAGAGAGAACCAACACACACACATATGTATCTGTTAAGGTAAATGCATGTGCAAAAATTTGTTCAACTTGGAAAAGTCAAAGAACCTTGCAATACTCTCAAGAATAAGATGATTAATGAAACAATACTAGCAGAAAAATTGCTCTTTATTGGGAGGGCTACGCCTCTATTTATAATGATTTACAGAGGTTGAATATGTGCAGGACTCGCATTGCTTGTCCCTCGAGAATATTCCTTACAGTATTTGTTTCCTTATAGTACAAGTTTGCATAAGGGGATTACAATGAATAGTACTCCTCCTATTTGAATTACACAGTGAGGATGGGCCCGGCCCATGCATGTAGGGGTTGGCCAACACTGCTGGACCCAGGTCCCTTTAGCAAGCCCAGACCGTGGCTCTTGGCGAATTAGGCCCCGACCTTCGGCTTTGATCCATGTGGGTTGTTGACTAGTCAACTTACTCCTTGGTGGTCCCTAGCTCTGACATGTCACTCCACAGTAAAATACATAAAAAGGATTTTAAATTAATATTTTACATGGAGCTCAAATTTGTCATTTCACGTGTCACTTAACAGTTCCATCAAGGAGGGGGGTAAATTTATCATTTTTGTTAGTTGCGGGGGTTATTTGTTAGGACAGGGGGTTATAAGAATGTTTTTGAAAATAAGGGGTTTTTATAATTTTAACCCTATTTATAAAGACCGTGTTTGAGGATGAATTATCCAAGTTGGGCGTCTCAGATATTCAAACACCAACTTGAAGGGGAGTGTTAGCCGAGATATATTAGGGTAGAATAATAGGATTTGACTTCATTTACGCATATGCCTAGGCATAGAATATGTAATGATTTTATTCAGTTTCCTTTCTTGTGATATTAACATGTGCTGTTCTTAGTACATAAATACCAAACCTGTGAACGAGTGTTTAAGCCTTCACATATTATCAATCTCATTCAAGCCTTTACATATTTCTTCTATCTCATATTTCTCCAGTCTCGCTCTCTTCAAATTTCTCACACAAACCCTTGAGCGCTCTGTCTCTGTGAAGCGCTTTCACTCTAGAATTCTCAACCACTGTTTCTCTACTACACCTAATCCCTCTCTCTAAGCATCGATGGCATTCACACTTTGGATCTTAGCTATTGTTGCAATCATGACCGACACTAGAGTCGGTGGTAGCAAGAACACAAAACCGGCATAATAGCCGAGGTTGATGGAGAAGGCACATCTTCATCTTCTACTTTCACCTCCGGTCCTCTTCACAAAAAATAAAAATAAAAATAAAAATAAAAAATCAAAGTAACGCCACAAGACCTATTTTTTAAGACCACCTCTTGTTAAAGAACGGATGGTACATCATGAATCAAATTTCTCATCACGGGGTTAGTTTCCAATTTTGTGTGACATTCCAAAAAGCCATATAGTACACCCATTTGTATTTCCATGCCAACATGCACGATGTCAACACCAAGAACCTCTCCTCGAAAACCCACTATAATGGGGTTCCCAAAATGGTCAACACCGATATCATCTCTTCCATGTTTACCAACTCAAACCCCCTCGGTGGCATGATTCTGTTGTTGGCAAAATCACACAACAAATTAATGCCTTACTTTGCCAAAGACCCATTTTCGACTTTAACAAGTTTAAGGCCGTCTACTTTAAACCGAAATAACAAGTGCTGAACAAGATCCTTGCTCAAAACATTGATCAAAAGGACCATGCTGAACTCATGAACAAATGTTGGAGTATGTCTACTTTCTTGCCAACAACAACCCCATTGATCTTTTCGCCTCTCCATTGTTTGACTCATGACCATGAATGGTATGTAGTCTGCTAAGGGGGAAGTCCCTTCCTTCTCCTAAGCTTATTAGTTGAATTTTACAAGATTATTCCGATCCCTTCTTTGACGATATTGAGAAAGTTGCAAAGGAAAAGGGTGACACTGATAGCTCTTTGATTAACAAATCCATCTTACATCTCCCTAGATACAATGTCAATCTCACATGGACATTGGTTCAAGTGATGAAAGTGGAGACGAAGACAAAGGTGAAGAGGAAGAAAGGGATGAAGCACCACCTCAATGTTTTCCCATTGAACCATGAGGACAATCTATGCCGAATGACATTAGTCGTCTTGAGCAAACCACGACTAAATTCTGGCTGAATATGGACACACTGACACACGACAAACTTTGACGCCATTGAAAAGACTAATTCATCTAGACACCACAGAAATGTGTCTCACCTCTCATGATGATGACTTTACCGCCTGTCAACCCGTTTCCCAATGAGCTAAGAGCATTCGTTGCACACAAACATCTCAACGAACTGAACCTTTTTATTTCCACAAGGTCTAATCAATCGACCAAGCAGCTCTCCTCCATGCTATGTATGCTGTGGCTTTATTTGATACTTTGCGCTCGATGCTTCTGGGGTTTTGGTTCGCATCTGGGTCTTTTCTTCTCTCCTAATTGAGCGCAAACATCGTCAGCTTTCTCAGGGCCCTTACATTGTGGCCGAACATACAGTCTTCTTCACAAACACGTCCTCCATTGTAGCCAATCACAAAGTCGTCTTCTTCACAAATTGAAGCTACAAATCATTTCATTGCTATCAAACTCTGATATTATTAAGGAATTTAAATTGATTTAAACTCAAATTAGTTACCAGACCATGGCCCCTTGAAGCTAGTGCTTCGCCAGCTCTGAAAAGGTATTTTTCAGTAACTCTCCTTGCTTATCCTGCTAACCTCCATGTTTCCGATGACTTCTTCTCCTAACACCTAGCTGCTCTAATGAAATTGTCAAAAGGATTGACCGGAACAAGCCTAAGAGCCAACCATGGATCCACCGATGGCAGCACACCTTTAATTGTTCACTGCATTTGTTTAATGTCAACCATCCATCATCTCCAATCCATCTATCCATCCATCACACAAAAAGGGATAAAATAATAATAATAATAATTCAACACAATCCAATACATTAGAACACCTATTCTCTCTCTCTACATATATGCACACAAACGTATATACATATGAGCTAAA